CGGCAGAGACAAAAGATATTTCAGCGTCGCAGTCTTGGTAGCCCCTCCGTAATTGAAGGCAGCAGAAGACAGGAGACATCTTTTGAATTACAATTAGGACGTGACGTGGTCACCATTTTCTACCGATTTGTGGATATGTCTGTTTGATGATGTAGGGTGACTTTTATACTTCGATTGAACTCTAGCTTTCTTTCTCTATATCTCCTTTATTTCTTCAGTAAGCCAAGGTGCAGGGAGATGTTTAACCTTTATTTGTCGCATCGGCACATGCTCGTACAAGTACATTTGTGAAGATGGCAGTTTTTTCGTCAACACATTGAAAGTTAAAAAGTGGACGCCAGTCGACGTTGTCAGCCTCTCTGCGAAGATTTTCGACATTCATATTACGAAAATTACAGTGTGAGATTATTTTAACTTAAGCTGAGATGACATATCGTCCCCGTAGTTGGAAAATTAAATAACTATGATTTTGTAGTTCTGAGATAAACGCGATTCAGTGGGTTTTTTTCAGTTAATGTACATTTGTTAAAAAATGTGAGACAATTTTACCGTCGGTAATTTTATATTTTGTGGACCTGATTACCTTTTATATTTTGCTTTAACAAACTGAACTCTATCTATAACTATAACAAAATAAAACATTAAAAACCAAGTTATTTAATTTTGCCACAACTATTATTTATAACGTAACTAAAATTAGCTACTTATTTCGGCTATTTATTAAGTTTTCCTACAAGCTAAATCCATTTGGTAGAGTAAAATTTGGTGAAATAAATGCAGTTATTGAATTTATCAAACTCGAAATATTTTTAAATGTAAAACTTAGTGGCTTTGTATTTTACATTATTTTGATATTTTTAACTATTATTGGCCTCATATAAAATAAAAGCTGTATTATTTTGGAAGAAATATAAAAGTACAATAAAATTTAAAAAAAGTGTATTGTAAACAGATATTTATCTTGCCACAAACTTAAAAAAATAAACAAAATTATAGCAATTATAACAAGAGGAAACAAATTAACTTAAAGTATTCTTTCAAAAAATAACAATAAGGCTCTAAAATCAGAGACCTAATTACAAAAGACATACTTAAGTAGTAAGTAAAACTATGAAAAACTTAAAATAGGTATGTTATTTAATTTATTTGCCATTTAACTTATCTTTATTTTTCCTTCAAAAAAATAGTGTTAGTCTGAAGATATTTATTATTCCATCTGTCCGACAAAAATGGCTATATTTTTGGAATGGAATAAGATACGAAAATGCCTGTAAGGCTCAAATATGCGGCATGTTTTAGGTGTTTTGAAAATAGGGAAAAGTCATTATCACCAAAACCGGACTTATTTAATTTTCCAACTACGGGGACGATATTTACTATGGAGAAGGGAATGTGAGATTGGATATACATGGCAACTCCACCGCCTCTTCCACAAATACGATCATTCCTTACCAGCTGAAAGCAAACAACATCTATAGGAATGCCTAATTGAAAAATGTTACCATGATGTAAGAGAATTTTTAGATGGTAAATAGGAATAATGAATTAATTAACTGACATGAATCAATTTACATACTTTTTTGTTTAAAATTTTAAACATAATTTATAAGATTAAGACATGGATTTTGCATGTTTTAAATTTCAAGGTATGAAAAATCAAAATGAATTATTTTATTGCTTTAATTGCGATAATTCAATGTCATTCTATTTGCATGTCTTAAATTTAGCGAGTCACTAAATAAAATTTTAAATTACTGTAAGCCTAAACTGCAGAACATAGTTTATCATTCCCCATAAAAATTGATTGACTGATTGATTAAAAGCCTGGTATGAGTTCAGAGGAATTTGCCGGAATGCTTTGGGCATTTATATGAACGACATTGAAATTCCTTGGAACATCAGAGAATTGATTCGAGATTTTGTATGCCAGTGAAGGAACACTAACGAAACTAGCATCGTCACTACCGAAAAGTATACATCAGTATCACTATTAGTGACATGTGACGTCATTAGTGTGTACTGTAAAAAGAAAGGTTTAATTTTAATAATTTATAATTATATAAATATATAATTATTTAAAAAAGACGTTTAATTTGTATAAAAATACTATATAATGTTAAAATTTATAGATTAAAAATAAAAACACTAGTTTAGAAATAAATAGGAAGTTTAAAATTATAATGCTAAAAAGCTGGTATCCAAATTATGTGAAATCTATTAAAAGATGAACTGGAACGCAATCCCGTTGTCACATGTGACAGCTTACTTAGTTTGACGTACCAGAATATTCATTTATGCTTGCGATATTAACAATGACATATCTTACAAAATTAGGTAAAAATAGGGTATGTAATCAACCAATATATGACGTAAACATACAGTGTGAAGTTAAGGAACCCTGCGAATGAAATAAATATTATGTGACAAACAAGTATACATAATAACCCAAACAGTTGGGTGACCAAATCAAATACAATGCTATTATTTTCTAGCGGCACGCCTGGTCTTGCTCACTGCTTATTTAGCGGCAACTACTGGCTTTCCTACATCATCACCAATAGCGTCCAGTTCACTAAATGTCGTTATGCGATGCCTTTTATCGCCAAGACCCGCAATGTGAAATATACCTCCTCGGGTCCAAAATTTGGTAATGCCAAACCTCTGACGTGCAGACATGAAGAGATGATGTCTAGATTTCGTTAGAAACTCTGATATGGTGACCCCAGTGCCCTCCAAGATGATTTATGTCAACATTACAGAATCTCTGGTAGCGACTTGTTGAAATTTTACAAGTATGGACCTAGTCTTTCTAGATGATCACCCTTTGACTCTTTTTTGCGCTATTTGTGCTTAAACCACTCACCTTTCACTGTTCATTAAAAACCCTACTAACCACCAATGCAATGTCTTCATTTTTCTCCTCGAACACACCATGAACTTCATGGTGTACTCTACTACTACTCACTACTGCTTCATGGCATGAAGCAGTAGGGTCTTTCTTCTGCTGTGTTCGTCTCCATGCTGTCTGCAGACTGAGCCTACTTTTGTCTCTGCTGTTGGATGTTATTCAGAGATTCGAGGGCAAACTTTTTGAAAGTTGTATACTCTGTTGCAAGTTTAGCGGGCGATGCAGATGAGCTGGCTTCCTTTTGGAGCTTGTCTCTTGACTCAAATTCGTCCATGCGAGTGTTAAACATAACATTCATGTCAGCGATGGTATTCAGTTAGGACTCCTTTGTATTTGTAAGGCAAATAATAAACTAATGTATGGAAATAACACTTTCACTGGCAGAAGGTAATCCCAGTTAGGGAAATAATTCATTAAATGTGTTTAATTTACACTAAAAACAATTTTAATTATCATTTAAAATAGAGCCTAAAGTTTTTGATGTGTACTTGAGATCTACCCTGAGTTATGTGATTACACCCTTACTGTAGTTACTGTAATTACACCCTTATGTGATGACACCAGATCTGTTTTTATTTCTTTTCAAGTATTGGGGAAAGAAGTTATTTTTATTTATTTATTTTGAAACAGGCTGAAAATTCATCTTCGTGTGAAGAAGACATTATAAGCTTGGTAACTCCTCGGCTTCCACCTATAGCAACTGTCTATGGGCAATGAAAAGTAATAGAATAAGAATACTGGAGCCTAACCATAAAAGCTGTCTATCATACTGTTACTATCAGACACTAGGAGGTCTCAAAAAATTGATCATATGCCTATAAGATTTACTGATCAGAACAGATATCGCCTACCAGGCTGTGAACAGAAAAGCAGAACCAAGTGTTACAGGTGTTTAAATGTTATATTTGTGCAATACTTTGAATCGGAATAGCAACACAAGTAAAAAGTTTTCTGTTTTTACGATAGAATTTGAATTTTTTACCAAGAGTCTGTCTGATTTATGTGATGAAATTAAATAGATATAAGCTAAACTTGTTTATTCCAGAAATCATCCTTTTAGGGGTGGAAGTTTGTATGAGGAATCAATAACCGCGGAACCAATTTAGATGAAATTTGGTATGGAGATATTTTGATTCTAATCAAATATATTATGAAACAATACATATACACTATAATATACATGCCGATCCAAACCGAAACTTTTCACTTGTCAAGCACTTTTGTATTATGCAATAGATGTCAAGTACCTACGCCAAAAATTTTCGATGAAACACTGTTATTTTTGAAGTGATAACTTCTAAAAGGAGGGAAACTGCTCCGCTACGTAACGCGTTACGTAACATTTTGTCTGGCTACCCTTTCGCTCACGCATTTGGCAGCGGTAGGCAGGCTCCTATTTTTTTTATTAGCAGCGCGCTCGCCGCCACCCCGGCCTGCTTCTGCTAGGGTGACATATGGCCTCACCTGTCACCCCCAGGCCTGCGCTTATGAAGTACGGAGGTCGTTCTGCGAGGCAGGCTCCTCCTCTCTCACTCTAACCCACAGCGCTAGCCTTATTTCGGACAGACGCTTTAGATAAAATTTAAGAAACTACCTAAGCTCTTCTCAAGTTAAACAATTTCAATGTTAAATAGTTCAACTTAGATTATTTTAAGTTATCACTTCTGTCGGGCGTCCCGAGACGCACACGTTTTTATTATGATGTTTTATGTTTGTGTGAAACTTTGAAATAAAACACCAAGTATTGTAATGATTCTAAATTTATATACAAACGTAAATCTTTAAAAAGTTTAACACATTACGATTACAAAAATTTATAATTTTTATTTATTTAAAAGTAACTAAAAAAGTTGCTTATGAATTATTTATTCTAATTATGTACTTAATATTAAAACATTGAGTGTGCAATAATGTAACATTGATTCAATAAAAGTTTTGATACATACATTGAATACAATATCAATCAAATATCTATATACCAATTTTTTATTTTATATTAAAGAATTGGCTACGCATAGACTCAAAACACATTAGGAACGGAAAAACGGTACTGATATAATATGGCAGACATATCAAATAAATAAATATAAATTTAATTCTTGATGGAGCTGACGTTTTCTAACCAATGCGGCCATCGTCTGATTGCATTGTACAGTTTTCTTCCAGGACTCTCAGTAGCCATGAGCTGCCTGTGTGCCACCACATGGTACTGCGGGGACAGATGACCATTCTCTACGCCACATCGAAGTAAAGCTTTAACTGCTTCTATAGATTCTGTGGCTGGAGTATCATCTAGAAGTGCACATGGAAAATATTAATTAGATACAAAAAAGACAAATGGTAAATTAAAAGAAAAAATAATTAACTATTTCATATTTTCATAAGGTATTCTAATAATCCTAATTTTTTAATTTGGGATTATCAGAATACCAAGGTATTTTCATTAAGAATTCTTTCCACAATATGAAAACTGTCTTGAACTGATAGTTATTCGAGACAAGTCTAGCTTTAGTAATAATAATAGTAATATGGTTTACGTTTCTCACAAAAATCTAACAAAGTGGTCAAGGTGTCTTTTCCAATTGAGAGATTCTAGTGCAAACCGAGATTCATTCCTTTAAAATGCTTATCTCTCTAAAGTTAATTTTTTAAATTAATCTATAGGTACGCAAGAAAAAATAATTATAAAATTTAAATTTTAATTTAAACTACTCAAATCATACAGAGATAAAATAAGAACACTGTAATTTTTGGCGATTTGTGATGCAAAACTTCAGTTAATGATAATAATGTAGAATACGATACTCTAACGAAATTAGACATAAAATATCGATTTGATAATTTTAACTCAAAAATATATATAGTTAGAGAAAACTCAAAAGAGTATTAACAAATATAAACTTGTTGTTAAAACATCAAGAAAACTTGTATCACATTACATTTTAATGTTTTGAAAGTCTCTACACGAGGTACAAAAATAGCACCTTTACTAATAGTAAATAACATTAATAAGAATATCCGTGTGGTGACGGATTAAGAATACGGAGTGTCACCATCCCTATTCATCCCATAAGAGTCGTAAGAGCCGACTAAGGGAACAAACTACGCAGTACAACAACACTGCAAAGAGAAGGAAAATTCAAACAAACTCTATGCCAACCAGTCTGGCCAGCGTGGTATAGTAGGCCAAAACCTCCTTTCTAAGGAGAGGCCTATGTGACAAATGAAGGCTGTTGATGATGATGTTAAATAAGATTCTAAGTCTGAAAATCTTCTAAAACATTTAAACGAAGGAAAATAAGTATAAAATCATATTATTAGCGAAGAATAACAATAACAGAACATATTAGTGAGCCGATATACGATATATCGAAATACTTTTTCACGTATTGTGAAAAACCAAAAACAAATTTGTCTACTGAGTTAGACGTTAGTTTAAATGTGTTCTGTTTGAGTTGAGTTATATCTTTTTAAAAAGAAGAAAATACACTTACTATTGTAATTGCCAATAAATGTAATTCCAATAGATCTGCTGTTATAGCCATAAGTATGAGACCCGACGTGCAACCAACCAGTGCCTTCATACACTTTTCCATTTCCACCGACTATGAACCTGAAATATATTACGTGTGCATTTTAGAAATTTAGTACACAAAATTTTATGTATTTGTAAATAAGTATTACCTATATATAAATAAATATAATTGGGTGTAGTTATATATATATGATCGATAGGTGTACTTAGGAAACTATTTCTATCACGTGGTGTCAGGCACTACACAGGGGACAGCTCGGGTAATTCAAAAAAATGAAAATAAGTTCAAGATAACCAAACCTTTAATCGAATAGGCGTCACCGTGGTTTTTTAAACATTTGATGAGATTTTTAATATCTATGACTACTGTTGTTACTACAACTGTTGTTACTACAAAACCAACAAAAAAGAAAATTTGGTACTAGCGCTAATTAAATTGTGTAGCAGATTTTAAACTGATATCACTTGTGATATTTTCTTTATACTGCTCTTAATAATTTTGTTACCTTTTTTGTATCTTTCATTATAAGCGAATATAATCCTCAAACGTTTACAGTAACATGACAATGTCTTGTTAAATTTTTGGTAGAAATAAAGAAAGGTAAACTTCATGAAAATTCATTCTAATAATGTGTTTTTAAGTCGTAGTTGAAGTATACGCTTAAATCTGTAGTGGATTTGGTCGTCCCAGGCCCTTTTACTGTTCAGAATTACAGTTATAAGGTGTTAAATATAGTTATCTATAGCAGTAAAAATTGGAAACAAATGACTTGTCAAAGCCAAATTAACTAGCGCCAGAATTATAGTGATAGAAAGATGAGTTTCATAATACGCCTCTGCCCACCCCCTAGAATTTGCAACTGTGAATAACATCATGAAATTTAAGTTAACTACTTACGAAGAGGCAATATCCCAGTAACCCAAATTCTCTATGTGGTTACTTTGTATGCTTCTAACAATCTCAGCGCATCGTTCATCAGTCTTACAAGTTGAGGTAACAGTATGTTGTATGATGACCAAATCTACTGGTCGCGGTAAATAGTCCACGTGCACTGGAGTCAGACCATCCCATTCGTCTTTAGTCACTACTCCGCAGTCTGGAAAAACAAACATTTTACAATACTTTGGGTTACACTTGTCAAAGACATAAATGGTTTTGCAAAAGGCAGTAACGATTGAGGGCATATTTATTTTTATAAAGACAGAAAAAGGTTTTCAACGTTGGCAACACGGAAGTAATATGATAAGTGTTAAATAGCTGTTTATGGTACCTTATAATCAAGGATATTGTAAATAACTGCGGTTACAGACAAGTCAAAGCAAAATATGATGGTAAGAGATCATCATAGTTAATGGAGGTTTGCCTCACGTCATGGGTCATGATTTCTTCTTCTTCTCATGAGTTGAAAAAGGAGTAATTTAACTCTCTGTATTTAAACTTTACGAAAATCTATCCTTACATAGGTTAAAATCGTATCTAATAATAAAAGTCATTGTTTGTTTGTGTGTATTTTTATTACCGTTCATCTGATCACCATTAATTTTTTATACACATTGGTAGGGATACAATAAATTATATAGAGTAACTTTTATCCAATAAAGGAACTGAGCCAAAAGAAGCAATAAATGCAGTATGTATCTTGCCGATAATATTAATCATGTTTATGCAATTACAAAAAACTGAGATAAAGTTAAAGTTCAACAAGCAAATTTTAATAAGTACGAACGAACTGTCGGGAACTGAGCATGACTAATTAGAAGAACTGAGAGTGCTATTAGGATCATACACTAGTTGTTCTAGTAATTTAATAATATATGAAGAGAATCCTAAATGTTTTATTTATATTTAAACATCGAACAGGAAGGAGAGTCGACAGTGGAATACATAATATCGTGTTGAAAAATTAAATGGAATCGATCTTAATTGACACAATTTAATTCATCAATCAACATCAACAGCCTTTAATAGTCCACTGCTGGACATAGACTTCTCCTTAGAAAAGAGGTTTGTGCCTACTATACCACGCTGGCCAAACGGGTTGGTATAGGGTTTTCTGCGAGGTGGGCCCCGATCTGTCGGACGCCCAGTTCGGTTTTCGGGCGGGGCGTTCGACAGTCGACGCCGTGTTGCGCCTGAGGGCCGTGACCGAAGAGGCCGTGAGCTGTGGCGGCGTGCTGTTGGCGGTGTCACTGGACATCGCCAACGCATTCAATAGTCTGCCATTCAGCTGCATCAGGGAAGCACTCCACTATCATGGGGTGCCAAAGTACCTGAGGCGGCTAGTGGCAGACTATTTAGAGGAGCGTACCGTCGTGTACGAGGACCGAGAAGGTAATTTGAGGTGTCGGCCCATGTCGTGCGGTGTTCCACAGGGGTCTGTTCTTGGACCCCTCTTGTGGAACATAGGGTACGACTGGGCCCTTCGCGCCGATTTCCCCCCCGGGCTGGGTGTAATCTGTTACGCAGACGATACCCTGGTGACAGCCCGGGGGGCAAACTTCCAAGAGGCGGCGCGCCTGGCCACAGGGGGAGTCTCCCTGGTGGTCGGGCGCATTGAGGCGCTGGGCTTACGGGTGGCCCTAGATAAGACGGAGGCCCTGTTATTTCATGGGCCCCGTCGTGGTCCACCCCCTGGCGCCTCCATCGTGGTCAACTCGGTCCTCGTACCGGTTCGGGCCCAGATGAAATATCTGGGCCTGATCCTCGACGGGAGGTGGCTCTTCGACGAGCACTTCCGACAGCTTGCTCCAAAGCTGGTCGGCGCTGCGTCTGCCCTAGGGCGACTTTTGCCCAATATGGGTGGACCCAGCGTCGCGACAAGACGGCTGTACACGGGGGTTGTCCGGTCAATGGCACTGTACGGTGCACCGGTGTGGGCGGCGGCTCTGACCGCCCAGAATAGGGTACGCCTCTGGCGCCCTCAGAGGGTAATGGCGGTCAGAGCCATACGCGGTTACCGCACCGTTTCGACGGAGGTGGCGTGCGCGTTGGCCGGAACTCCCCCGTGGGATTTGGAGGCGGAAGTGCTCGCCGAAGTTTATCGGCGAGTGGCTGACTACCGGGCGGAGAGCGGATTTCGCCCTCCGCCCGAGGATGTGCGCGAGTGGCGCGAAGCCGCTCGCCGAGCCACGATGGCTCGTTGGTCGTTCCGGCTGGAGACTCCACGCGCTGGCTTCGCCGCCGTGGAGGCTCTCCAGCCGGTCATCACCGAGTGGGCAGGGCGGCAGCACGGGACCCTTTCCTTCCGACTGACGCAGGTGCTTTCCGGGCACGGTTGCTTCGGAAAGTACCTGCACACGGTCGCTAGGAGGGAACTGAGTCCCGCCTGCCACCACTGCGACTGCAGTGAGGACTCGGCCCAGCACACGCTGGCGGTCTGCCCCGCATGGGCGGCGCAGCGTCGGGCCCTCACTGCAGTCATCGGAGTGGATCTCTCGCTACCGGCCGTAGTACGCTCCATGGCCGGTAGCGACAGTTGTTTTACCGCGGTCGCAACCTTCTGCGAGGTAGTAATCTCGCGGAAGGAGGCGGCGGAGAGGGCCCGGGAGGACGACCTCCACTCGGACCCGATCCGCCGCCGGCGAACCGGGCGGCGGAGGCCCGCCTATCACAGCCTCATGCCGCCCTGAGTGTGGCCGCGGGTGGACGGGGTGGGTTTCCCCTCCACCCGCATTAGTTTTGGCCAGCCGCGAGGGGGCGGCGTCCGCGTGTGCCGGACGTCGCCTATAAAGAGAGGAAAAACACTGAGACGGAGCCCGCACCAGGAGCGGGCTGGCGCTAGGAGGGGTCCGGATGTCTTAACAACAGCTGTTCCCGGATCCCTCCTGTTACAGGCGCAGAGTGGCACACCGTGTGGTTTTAGTCGGTCCGAGTCCGACACACCACCCCGCCGCAAACCCCGGAGGGGTGACGGTCCGAGGGGATTTCCACACGTTAAAAAAAAAAAAAAAAAAAAAAAAAAAGGGTTTGTGTCAAGTTTTCCTTCTCTTTGCAGTGCTGTAGTCCTGTGTAGCTCCCTTAGTCGGCTCTTACGACACCCACGGGATGAATAGGGGTGGTGATACTCCGTATTCTTAATCCGTCACCACACGGATAGCACAATTAATTAAAAAACAAGAATTATTGAAATCGACTAATGATTGGCGAAGATATCGCATAAAATACAAACAAAAACAGTTTGATTGAGCACCTTCCCCGTTATTGAAGGCGATAAAAATGAGATTATTACATTAGTTACAAAACAGCTTAACTTACCACCACGCACACTTACAAACAAAATAAATAACGTAAATACGTTTCGCAACATCTTGGACTTTTCACTTCAACGTGCAGATGCAAACTAAATACTATAAGATATTGCCAAGGCAACGAACTTAAATAACTGGAGAATCCTCGTGTCATCTCTTTCATACAATACTGTGCGAAAATGAGATATAAAATATGAGTTTACATTTGAATGACTCAGTAAACATATATTATCCCATGTGCGGGTTCCGTCTAAGTATTTATTTCCTTTTATTTTTTTCAATTTTATTCTTTGCAAAATATTAAATTACTACAATTTAGTTATAATTCTCTTGTCTTTTCAAAATAAAAACATGAAATCAGAGCCGTCTTATGAGACCCTTTGCACATTTGCGACGTTAGTTAGTAGTTAGTGCGACGTTGACTGATTACTATTCTGTTAGAATAGACAAAAAGTATTATAGTCAGTCATTATCGCTGGATTTTTCAAAAAAAATGTTTTCGTCAATAAACGTCGATATTATCGATTGGTGATCTGGCAGGCATTAGGGGACTATAGATAGATCAATCTAGGGGCACTGGGTACGTGCCCAGAGTGCTCAGTGGGAAAGAGGAGCCTGCATGAAATATAATATAAAAAGTATTTTAATAAGTTTACAATTTCCATAATTTTAGTACCGGCCTTCAGTTCCATGAGTTGACGGGGCAATAGGCTTCCACTCCAACATGTAAGTTGAACTAAAATAATAGTAGGCTAAATGTGGGTGTTTAAAACGTCTCTGTTTCCCTCCCTCCCTTCGGGAATATAGGCGTAAATGTATGTACCCACGGTTTTCGACGTAACTTGTGGTGGTCATGACCGGTGACAAAAATGTTTGCGCTCGAACTGCATCTCATCATTCTGTTCAACTAGTAAAACGTCTATACCAGACGTTTTTTGGAACTTTTAACAATAATTTAATAAAAACAATTTGCTTTTTGCATTACGGACGGGCCTGTTGGTTTAGTGGTCAGTGACCCTGACTGCTAAGCCGGAGGACGTGGGTTTGATTCCCACCCAGGACAAATAATTGTGTGATGAACTGTGTCTAGGTGTAATTTCTCTATATTATGTATGTATTTAGAAATAAATAAGTACGTTTATTAGCAATCTGGTTACCATTGTACAGGCTCTGCCTAGTTTGAATGTCTGATCATCCGGATGCCAAGTGTGAGATTTGTAAAAAAAAAAACAAAAAAAAAAACAATACTACTTTAATTTTGTTCTTTTACTTATTTCACATTTCTAATTGCGTGACGTTTGCTACTTTCATCCTGTTGTAATATTCAATATACTCGTATATACGAAGCTAAAATCAAATATTGATTCTATTTTTAATGCGGAACTCTGACACTTGTTGCCCGTTAAACGTTTCTTTATATGGAATCGGGGATTCCAGCGCTAGTGTTTTACTAATATGTCTGAGATAAACCGGTTATCAGTTTGTAAATAAAACATCCAATACTAGCAAATTTAATGTAGGTTAAGCCCACGGAATGTACCTAATAGTGTCACTGAAATACAGGGTTTTCCTAAATATAATGTAGACACTGGTGCTAATTCTGTTGTTCGAAAACTCTCTAAACTAAACTAAAAATCACTAAAAAAAAAGTTTGTCCTGTCAAATATGACGTTTTCAGAATAGGAAACGTTGTTTGACAGAACTAAACAATTTTTTAGTGATTTTTAGTTTAGAGAGTTTTCGAACAAGAGAATTAGCACCATTGTTACAATTAATTTTAATCTGTATGTGTCTGTTAAATACTTTGTGGTAAAAATAATAATATTACCTATTTTAATTACTACGGATTATTATGGATAATACGATAGAAGCGTGTTGCAGGCGTTCGTGGCCGGCGGTAGTCACTTTCCATCAGGTGACCCGTGTGCTCGTTTCCCCACTCTTAGATTTTAAAAAAACGCCACACACCTCACACACGGCAGTCTGATCCCAAACTCGGCAGATCCTGTACTATAGTAGGTAACAAAAGTGCTGATAAACATACTTATATATTTCTAGATACATACATATTTTAGTTAAATTACGCTTAAACACAGAAGAAATGATCGTATTCATCACACCATTGTTCATCCTGGGTGGGGATCGAACCCAGGACCTTTGGCTTAGCAGCCTGGATCTCTAACCACTAGACTAATGGGCCAGGCAATATTATATTCTCACTAGTATTACTTTATTTACCAAAACTTAATTTATATAAGAGTCCCTTCACATAAAAACTACGAGTTTATGACTTTAAGTAACAGTAGTATTTGAGTTAATATTATCAGTAGGTATGTTGCGTTTATTTCATGTCAGTGATGACTTTGTGTTGGTGGAATTTCATTCATTGTCACTTTGGCCAATAAGATCTCTTGAATTTAACTCTTTATATGTTTAGCTCTATAGCTTATTTTTAATCTAAAGTTTCAGTATGTAAATCACTTACAAGGGAAAATTTTGATCGGCCGTTTGAGACGATTTTAATTGTTTTGTCAAAAAAATCTCCTCAACTATATTTAGCGTTTAGGTGCCATTTGGAAATTCCTAGTAATTTCAAATATATTGCTGTAAAAAACATTCGAGATAATTTTCTGAAACTTTTCAAAACCCTTATTGTATCGAACCTTAAACATTCTGGTAATAACATGTCCTGTTTACGAGTACATTTAATATGAATTGAATGAATAATTGAAATTTGGGAGTTCAACGCTTCGGCACAAATGGACCGGTTACAAAATTATTGAAACTTGATTAGATTAAAATAAGGGCAGTAAGACGTATTTTTTACAACATTATCTTGTATTTTTCACACTAGATATTGACTATAACTGATTGTAGTCAATAGAAATATAAGAGTAAGGCTAGTTTTAGCCACTAGTGTACCTACAACCTTAGGTACGTCACATTGAATAATCGCTGGAAATATTTTAATAAATGTGGCATATATGGGAAACGACAATACTCACATGTTGGTAAAAAAAGTAATGTCACTTTTGTAATCATAAGAAAAAGATACATCTTACACACGACCGTCTGATTCTAAAGTAGGCAGAGCCCGCAGTCTCATTACTATAGATATTGTACTATTGATAGACATGTTAGAAACATTACTACACATTATTAAACATTATACATGTTAGATTTTGTCCGTGTGGTGACGTATTCAGAATACAGAGTATCACCACCACTTTTCATCCCGTGGGTGTCGTAAGAAGTACTAAGAAGCGACTAAGGGCGTAAACTACGCAAGACAAAAGCACTGCAAAAAAAAGGAAAACTTGACACAAACCCTTTTTTTTTTTTTTTTTTAACGTATGGAAATCCCCTCTGACCGTCACCCCACCGGGGTTTGCGGCGGGGTGGTGTGTCGGACTCGGACCGACTAAAACCACACGGTGTGCCACTCTGCGCCTGTAATAGGAGGGATCCGGGAACAGCTGTTATTAAGACATCCGGACCTCTCCTAGCGCCGGCCCGCTCCTGGTGCGGGCTCCGTCTCAAAAAATATATATGTTTTTTTTTTTTTTCCAATCTGGGGGTCCGCTGGGTCCACCCAAATTGGGCAAAAGTCGCCCTAGGGCAGACGCAGCGCCGACCAGCTTTGGAGCAAGCTGTCGGAAGTGCTCGAAGAGCCACCTCCCGTCGAGGATTAGGCCCAGATATTTCATCTGGGCCCGAACCGGTACGAGGACGGATTTGACCACGATTGAGGCGCCAGGGGGTGGACCACGACGGGGCCCATGAAATAGGAGAGCCTCCGTCTTATCTAGGGCCACCCGTAAGCCCAGCGCCTCAATGCGCCCGACCACCAGGGAGACTCCCCTTGTGGCCAGGCGCACCGCCTCTTGGAAGTTCGCCCCCCGGGCTGTCACCAGGGTATCGTCTGCGTAACAAATTACACCCAGCCCGGGGGGGAAATCGGCTCGAAGGGCCCAGTCGTACCCTATGTTCCACAAGAGGGGTCCAAGAACAGACCCCTGTGGAACACCGCACGACATGGGCCGACACCTCAAATTACCATCTCGGTCCTCGTACACGATGGTACGCTCCTCTAAATAGTCTGCCACTAGCCGCCTCAGGTACTTTGGCACCCCATGATAGTGGAGTGCTTCCCTGATGCAGCTGAATGGCAGACTATTGAATGCGTTGGCGATGTCTAATGACACCGCCAACAGCACGCCGCCACAGCTCACAGCCTCTTCGGTCACGGCCCTCAGGCGCAAAACAGCGTCGACTGTCGAACGCCCCGCCCGAAAACCAAATTGGGCGTCCGACAGATCGGGGCCCACCTCGTAGAGGTGCCGGACGATGCGGGCAGAAAGAACCCTCTCAAACAATTTACCCGCCTCGTCCAGCAGCACGATGGGCCTGTAGGCCGCGACCGAATCGGCAGGCCGTCCCGGCTTCCTTAATAGGACCAGCTTCCCGCTCTTCCAGCACTCAGGGAAACGTCCCGACGCCAAGCTAGCGTCGAACACCTCCCCGAGGCGGTCTGCCATGTGGTTGAGGGCAAGGGCTAGCACTCGGGCCGGTACCCCGTCTGGCCCAGGGGCGGTGTTCTTGGAACGGATCCGTAGAACAGCCGCCCCTACCTCCGAATCCCGGACGGGCGGAACATCATCCTCCTCGTCTCCGGCCAAGGAGGCCATCCCCGGGGGAGTGTGCTCCGCTCGTTGCGGGAAAAGGCCCTCAACCACTTCTCGCAGGAAGCTGGGCTGGAGAGTCTCCGTAAGGGGGGGGCCCGACGCGCGGAGCTTTTGTCGCGCCGCGCGGTAAGGGCGACCCCAGGGGTCACGATTAAGACCCTCCAGCATCTCCTCTCTCTTTTTTTCTTTGGCGCGGCTAATGCCCAGCTTCAGAGTTTTCCGCGCCTGTCGGTACTCCTCATGACGCCGGTCCTCCTCACCGTCTCCACGGTGACGCCGCCGACTGCGCGTGTAGGACCTCCGGGCACGTGTACAGGCCGCACGGAGGTCCGCCAGCTCCTGGGACCACCAGTAGACCTCCTTCCTTGGAGGCC